TTTCTGTAAAATGACTGATATTATAGATTATAATTTTTTTGGAGAACTAGGAGAAATATAATCTGAATTTATATTCATGAAATGCAGCAGACAGCAACCAGTCCACTGATGGCCACTTAATTTCACTACAAAATAGTGATTTTGGTTTTATTATTATTATTATTAGTCTATTATTCTATTACTATTCCACACACATATTGTTAACCTGTACATTTTTTCATTATCTATGTTATATTCAGCATCAAATCTCATTTGTCACACGCTAAGATTGTTTTTTATTATTCTTTCAGTAATTTTTTTCACACTATTTCTATACTGTTTTGTACGCTAATAATACAAACAACTAACTACCAACAACAGTTGTATAGAGATGCTTTCGCACTATTCACATTTGCATTGTTACAAATGTTACTGATTTCTTTCTCTATATGCTTTGTTTATCACTTATCATTGAAACCACTGCAAACAGTCCTCCAAATAGATCTACAAAGCATGTAGGGACATACCTTGAAGAAAACACACTAGTAAATGTTCAACTCTATACTACTGCAGCAATACAAATAATGACATTAAATTACAATCCCAAAAAATTATTGTGAAAAAAGACTAGGTAGACATATTCTATTCAAACACTTATTTGCCAAACTTTTGTTCACCTTTACATAGCCCTGATCCACAACACAGAAGGCACACGGTAGCAGAGTCATAAAATGAATTTAAAAGGAAAATGGCATACAGTTTGGTTTCGTTTCAATCACCCATGATCATTTGCCTACAGCAGCCATTTCTTCTATCACACAAAACACAAATGGAAGATAACAGATATTTATGATGCTCATGGCAGCTCTACCTCAAGTACAAGGTCACTGTCAACAACTGCAAGATGGCGGCTAGCAGGACGGGCGTGCATAGAATAGCTGACCCATTTTCTGAGCCTTCTTTGGAAGCTGAAATTAAACATGAGCACAGATTAATATATGTGGTAAACCTGAATTGATCTGTTTTAATTTGTTTTGAATCTCCTAGCTAGTTAATGATTCTTTAATTTAGCTTTGAATACATTTCATTATAACTGTATAGCAGAAAGTACACCAGCTTACTAACACAGCACTGTTTCCATACAGTAAACAAATATTGATCATTATCTTTTGTTCAAAAATTCAAGCCAAGTTAACTTTTAAAATGCATTTTTAATCAAAATAATGCAGATAACTAAAAGTATCAACGAAATATGAAATAAAAATTGCTGCAGTGAACTATTTTATAAATAGGAAATATATTGTTTCTTCTTCTTTCTTCTTCTTCACGTTCACCAGCTGTAAACTCTGGCGGAAGGTTCTGGTTGCTCGTCCACTACTGAACTGCAGTCCTGCTCCAGAACCTGAGTGTTGCGTGTGCATCAGTTTTACAGATCTCATTCTCTTGAATACAGACTGTTGGTTCCTTGCCTCTCTGGCAGATGCACTCCGACTTCAAAGGAAGCTTCCCAATTAGTCGACTCTTACGACATGCTTTTGGGGAGGCAGTGGGTCTATTCTTGTCTTCCCCACAATGGGGCCCCGGAACCCACACGGGGGTATATTGTTTCTTAGAGTTAGTTTTTCATCAGTAAATTATTAGTAGAAAATTCTCAACAATGAAACTACTCAACATGCCATTTATAGACAAAAAAATTGTTATAAGACAGTAAAATCCTGCACTTTACGTTTGGATAGGTTTCTTACACAAGTTTATTTTAAAAAGCTTCCTGAAAGTGTTTTTTGCTCAGCAGTCTCAACTATACACTCAGTAAGATTATATTTCCACACTAATTAAGATTACATTTCTTTTCAAATTCAGAAACTCTAAGGCTCAGTGGCTTAGAGATTAGTGAGACATCATCATCACATGTTCTGCTGACTGATGTAGGCATTCATGCATCTCCACAGAACTCAGTCCCTCTTTACCAGCCCACTGTGGTATTCAAGGAAATGAGAGAGCAGATGAGTTGGCAAAAGCTAGGAGTAATCCCACAACCTCATCCACCGCACAGCTACAAGGAAACCAAAACAGCACTAAAGCAGTCTTTCAAGCGGGAGTGGAGAAAGGCAGAATGGAGATTACAGACCAGAGAGTGACAGCATAAACAAACTCAACAGGAAAGAACAAACAACCATTTTTAGACTTCGGACTGCACACTGTGGTCTTCGAGCACACCTGTACAGGATAGGCATAAAAGAATCTGCTGCTAGTGATTGTGGAGCAGAAAGACAGACCCCTGGGCACATACTACAGTACTGCCCTTACCTCTCCCAGCAAAGACTGTTGATCTGGCCCAAGGGAGCCACATTGAAAGAGAAGCTACGGGGGACCCAGATGGGACTCAATGTTTAGCATGACTGATGTCGAACACAGAAGAAGAAGAAGTCCCTCTTTGTCCTCTGGATCATTTCTACTGTTGATATTCCTCTGTCCCACCATCAGAATCCATCTGTCATCATCTCTCTTGGTATTCCTCTCCCTCGTCCATTGTTATCTTTCCAGTCATCACAATATTCTCAAAAGCCTCCCTCCTCATCACATGACCAAAGATCACTGCTTGTCTTTTCCTTATAGCTGTATCTATTGATCTGTTTTCGTTAGCTTCTTTCAAGCAATCATCCTTAATTACTCTGGTCACTGTTTAAATCTATAACCTTCAGGAAAGAGTTAATAATTCAAACTGCACCTAAACTGTGTAAAGTTACATTATATCAATAGTTCTTTATCACTTGCAGGATGACTTCATGACACAGCTTTATGTATCTCTAGTTTATACAGGGTACTGGTTGATCATAGCATATATTTGAGGTTGAGGGCAAAATTTGACACTTTGCTATCAAAAAGCCACTGTTGGTCATAATAAGCCCCCCCCCCCCCAGTGATATTTTTAGCCACTATATTCATATCCAGACCTTCTCAACGCTGTGCAGGTGCACACAGAGCCAATGGAATTTAAATACGCTTTTCAAAAACAGGTCACTGCAGACATGGCCGTAAATCTGCATTTACGGAACTATGTCACAGCCAGAAGTGACTAGATTTAGTCTTTTTTGGTGTGACAAGGTTTACTGAGATAGCTATGGCAAGAGATCAATTCATTATATATTTCTGGAAATCATAAAACAAATAAAGGTAGCAGATAAAAGCAGTACACCAGTTAAAAAATATAAAAAGCTGCAAATATTTTGCACTGAGAATAAAAACAAAAATGCAACACGACAATAATTTTAAAACATGAATGGCATCTACTGTTTAGGAAAGCAGCAATTGTTTTACCCAGTGTTAGTATAGCAACTCACATAAGCTTTACAGCACTGTTGTTATTACAACTTGAATGTGTAAGGTTCACATATCCACTGTACTTTTTGCTGTAGTTTTTTCTCTCTCTCTCCCTCCCCCCCCTCTCGTTCTCTCTCTCTCTCTCTCTCTCTCTCTCTCTCTCTCTCTATATATATATATATATATATATATATATATATATATATATATATATATATATATATATAGAGAGAGAGAGAGAGAGAGAGAGAGAGAGAGTAAAGGACCCTTTCCTACACTTTCAGGTGTACTGGGCATCTAGTACTAGGCCTATATTTTATAGAACAATTGGCACTTGGTGGGTGATGTGGGCAACATCAGGCCAGCCGCCTTTACTTCCCAGGACATTCACCTGGTACCCATTTAAGGCTTGGTCAATCTGGGGGCATAGGTCATTGTTTTTTTAAACATCCGGATTTGAGGATCTGAATCCCAAAAAAGCATAATGTGAGAAGTAAACTTTACACATTCAAGTGACAAAGTTTGAGTGTGAAGCTTGCATCCATGGCTTTAGAAAAATCTCTCTCTCACCTGCTACAAATGAATCCTTGTTCTCCCTTGGGTACTCATCAATCTTCTCTGTGTTACTTCCTTCATCATCTTCTGCCAAATTATTGTAAACATCATCATAGTTATCTTCATCTTCTTTAAAATTGTCTTGTCTTTCAGCCATGAAATGCCTGTTCTTTTTCTGTGATCTGTTGTTGTCCTCCTCACTCTGGTGAAACTCATTTTCATTACCGTCTTCAGAGGCATCATATCTTTCATCATATCGGTTCTTTCTCACTTTTCCCTCATACTCAAAATCCTCAATGTTTCGTTCACTATCATCATCAATGTGGGTATTGGTATAATCAGGGTCAACATCTTCAGCGCTGGGCTTACCTGCAGCTCCTCCTTCAATAGCAGTTACTTCATTGCCATCATCATCATCATCATCATCATCATTGTCAGTTATTCTGTCATTTTTTGTCACTTGTGTGGTTGGTTGTGTTGTTCTGCCCTCAGCCTCTGGTGTGCTGCTGGGTGAGGGACCACTGTGTTTCCCTCCTATGTCATCTACGGATAGACAATGAAGAAAAATATAAGTATGCATTTAGAAAACATAAGTGTGTGTCAGTTTCACCACTTTCAGGCACATAAGATCTTGGCCACAAGGATTAACTCTTTGAGTCCCAGGGGGCTTAGCATCACAGGCCCAGGGGGTAGTAAAGAGAGTCATAAAATTGGTGCATCATGCGTTCACTAGGCTTCTAGGTAGGAACCTATAAACGTATGATGCGTTCCTTGGGACTCACAGAGTTAAAGAATGCATGCATTACCTTCCTGAGGGCAGCATATAACATAAAACATATGATGAATTTTAACAAAACAAGTCAAATGTTTATCATGAGAATTATACCACATCGTGTGTTGTTTGGGACATATGGGCAGTAGGTGATCACACATGATTATTTGCTGGGTATGTACAAGTTTAGAGTAATACAGCCATTTGGACACAAAGTTGAGTTTACAACTGATATCATAACAAACTGGACACTCCCATATACACATGTTGAGTTTAGAACCGATCTCATAACTAATAGGATATTCCCATATGCACACTGCCTTCATCTTCAGCAGCCAGCAATGCTTTTCAATTCTGATGGTGCCAGAAGTAGTTAGTATGTTTGTTTTGACTTTCTTTTGAGTGTTGACCATATCCGTTGGTCACTCCAGCTGTACCCCTGGTCACTCCAGCTGTACCCCTGGTCACTCCAGCTGTACACCTGGTCACTCCAGCTGTACACCTGGTCACTCCAGCTGTACCCCTGGTCACTCCAGCTGCACCCCTGGTCACTCCAGCTGTACCCCTGGTCACTCCAGCTATACCCCTGGTCACTCCAGCTATACCCCTGGTCACTCCAGCTGTATGCCTGGTCACTCCAGCTATGTGCCTGGTCACTCCAGCTATACCCCTGGTCACTCCAGCTGTATGCCTGGTCACTCCAGCTGCACCCCTGGTCACTCCAGCTGTAACCCTGGTCACTCCAGTTGTACCCCTGGTCACTCCAGCTGCACCCCTGGTCACTCCAACTGTACCCCTGGTCACTCCAGCTGTACACCTGGTCACTCCAGCTGTACACCTGGTCACTCCAGCTGTATGCCTGGTCACTCCAGCTGTACCCCTGGTCACTCCAGCTATACCCCTGGTCACTCCAACTGTACCCCTGGTCACTCCAACTGTACCCCTGGTCACTCCAGTTGTGCCCCTGGTCACTCCAGTTGTACCCCTGGTCACTCCAGTTGTACACCTGGTCACTCCAACTGTACACCTGGTCACTCCAGTTGTACCCCTGGTCACTCCAGTTGTACCCCTGGTCACTCCAGTTGTACACCTGGTCACTCCAACTGTACACCTGGTCACTCCAGTTGTACCCCTGGTCACTCCAGTTGTACACCTGGTCACTCCAACTGTACACCTGGTCACTCCAACTGTACCCCTGGTCACTCCAGTTGTACCCCTGGTCACTCCAGTTGTACACCTGGTCACTCCAACTGTACCCCTGGTCACTCCAGTTGTACCCCTGGTCACTCCAGTTGTACACCTGGTCACTCCAACTGTACACCTGGTCACTCCAACTGTACCCCTGGTCACTCCAGTTGTACCCCTGGTCACTCCAGTTGTACCCCTGGTCACTCCAGTTGTACACCTGGTCACTCCAACTGTACACCTGGTCACTCCAGTTGTACCCCTGGTCACTCCAGTTGTACACCTGGTCACTCCAGTTGTACCCCTGGTCACTCCAGTTGTACCCCTGGTCACTCCAGTTGTACACCTGGTCACTCCAACTGTACACCTGGTCACTCCAACTGTACACCTGGTCACTCCAACTGTACCCCTTGTCACTCCAACTGTACCCCTGGTCACTCCAGTTGTACCCCTGGTCACTCCAGCTGTACCCTCGGTCAGTCCAGCTGTACCCCTGGTCACTCCAGCTGTACACCTGGTCACTCCAGCTGTACCCCTGGTCACTCCAGCTGTACACCTGGTCACTCCAGCTGTACCCCTGGTCACTCCAGCTGTACCATCCTCTTCTGACTGTGATGATACTTTTGTGCTTCTGCACTAATCAACTGCTTCCAAAGGAGCTGGACCATTTCTAGCTTGGGACACAAAGTATTAAGTCTTAACAAATTCTAGCACTGTCAATCAGGTAAGGTAACCAGTACACTCCCAATGATGGCATCACAAAAATTACAGATACAAAACTGAGGATGTCGTAGCGACAAAACTTCATCAGAAATAAGAAACAAATCACTGCAACACAAAACACACATGAAACTGACACTAAATTAACTGCATTAAAACATAATATTATCAACTACATAGGTGATCTTTCTATAACATAGGATGGATGCAGATAACCTCTAACACACTCTCCTGCCCTGGCTTTAGATACTCTGTGACTGTTCATCCATCTCTTGGTGTTATTCTTCAGTTTATATTGTCTACACAGGTCACAATTACCTTCAACATTTCCTCTCCAGTATGGTTATTATAGAATTCTTAAATAAAACACTAAGCAACCATATAAACTAGGTGTAACTCCATGGCATTTCTCTTTTGTCTCTTGCCTCTTGCTGTCAGTTAATCATCGTCATCATTATCATCATCATCATCATCATCTGCTTTTATATATATATGCAGTATAATGCAGTATTATAATTTGATCTAAGCAAAACATACAACTAGTTAGTGAATGCTAGATTGGACATACCATCCAAGCAAAACTGACAACTAGTTTGTGAATGCAGTATTCTACATTCAGTCCAAGCAAAACTTACACAACTAGTTTGTGAATGCAGTGTTCTACATTGAATCTAAGCAAAACTTACAACTAGTTTGTGAATGCATTATCTACATTCAGTCCAAGCAAAACTTACACAACTAGTTTGTGAATGTAGTATTCTACATTGAATCTAAGCAAAACTTACAACTAGTTAGTGAATGCAGTATTCTACATACCTTCTGAGCAAACAATATGTCTAGCATCTGAATAGAGCTCTTCTATGTCATTTCTCAATTCATTCAGCTGACATTTCTTGACTGCACTGTTTGTACACTCCACAAGGGAGCTGATTAGTCTGGAGACAAGAGACAAATAAAAGACCCTTTTTCAAACATTCAGGTGTATCGTGTACCTAGGGTTAGACCCATATTTCATAGACTAATTGGCATTCGGTGGATGCTGTTGTCAGAATCACATGGGCCGCTTTTATTTCCCAGGATTTTACCTGCTATCCACTCAAGAATTGGTCAATGGTCAATATGGCAGCCAAGGCCTTTTCTAAAAAATTTCTGGCTCCATCAAGACCCAAACCCGTGAATTTACGATCTGCAAGGAAGTGTCTAGCTGATACACCAAAGTGGCTCTGAGAACATCAGATACCGTTAATATAACAAATTATCACAGATGGACTGTCACCACAGCATGCCAGATGCAGATGAGTCATTAGTAACAATACAGATGAGTACAATTCTCATACTACTTTTACATCAATGCAAATATTAGAAAATGAAGGTAAAAAAATACTAATATAACTTCAAGATGGTTGAAAGAGGTTGATAACACAATTAAAAATAATGAAAACATGGTTTAAAGAAGTAGATGTTAAACAGTGAAACAAAAACAATAAAACAAGATGTGGGGACAGAAGATGGTATCAGACAACATAAAAATAATACAACAAAATGGTGAGTTAGAAATAGATAGATGACAAAAAAACAAACCCAACAACATAACAGTGGGCAGAAGTAGACAGTAGATGAGACAAATACAATAACCCAACAACATAACAGTGGGCAGAAGTAGACAGTAGATGAGACAAATACAATAACCCAACAACATAACAGTGGTACAGAATTAGACAGTAGATGAGACAAACACAGTGACCTAACAACATAACAGCGGGACAGAATTAGACAGCAGATGAGACAAACACAATAACCCAACAACATAACAGTGGGACAGAAGTAGACAGTAGATGAGACAAACACAATAACCCAACAACATAACAGTGGGACAGAATTAGACAGTAGATGAGACAAACACAATAACCCAACAACATAACAGAATTAGATAGTAAACAACCCATAAAAACATAAGAATGCAAGATACTGTGGCAGAAGTATATTGGGAAAATGTAGATAGTTAAACAACTCAAAAGTAAAATCACAGCAAGATGGCACAAAAGAATTAGAAATTAACCCAAAAAATACTATATATATCCCCCCCCCCCCCCCCCCCCAAAAAAAGCACTATGGGACAGAAATAGATATTTGATAACATGAAAATAATATTAAAACAAGATGGTTAGAGAGAAGTAGATAATAGGAAAAACAATTATACAAGAAGAGGATGGTGGGTAAATGTTAGACATCACACTAAACAGAAAAGAAGGAAAAATTACCTGAAGACATTTTTGAACTGTCAGGAACTAATAAAATTGATTTTGACCTTCAGGAACTAACAATATTGATTTTGACCTTCAGGAACTAACAATATTGATTTTGACTGTCAGGAACTAATGAAATTGATTTTGACCTTCAGGAACTAACAATATTGATTTTGCTTACTTGCACCAGGAAGTAGTATTATCAGTTGACATCTGCTCAATATGAAGGTCACAGACCATCATTTCATCACATGATGCTAGTGATCCATCGCTTACGACCACTGGAAATAAAATATATATTTGTGTTATATGTCTTTATTTATTCAGACAAAGTCATATGTATTTTATGACACTGCAGTGTTTAACTCTTTGAGTCCCAAGGAACGCATCATACGTTCATAGGTTCCTGCCTAGAGTCCCAAGGAACGCATCATATGTTCATAGGTTCCTGCCTAGAGGCCCAATGAACGCAAGATGCGCCGATTTCACATCTCTTTTGACTACCCCCTGGGCCTCTGATGCTAAACCATCTGGGACTCAAAGAGTTAAGAGCCAATAAAAGAGTCCACTAAAATATGTACACAAACTCATACAAATGCTTTCTATAGATTCATATTTAAATTACAGTGACCCTGTGTGATACGTTTTCTCAAAAGATGTTTTTCACACATGTTAAAGAAAACCAGCTATACTGGTGGCCCTAGAGAGAAAAAGTGAAATGGCATCCTCAGCAACCAAACAGGCACTGCTTGCTAACATTGCTTTAGTAGTTCAACATTAGAAGAAAAGCCTGAATGCCAATAGAAAACCATCATGGGCATCCATCTCAAATAATTGTACAGGTCAAAGGTAATTTGGATTCATGCCCTCTGTCTGTATAATTCACAGACTCTTAAAGCCCCAGAGATGTGGTTTTATTTTGAAAAATACTAAAAACTCCTTGGAAAGCCAGAATGAGTAACGGAGATATAGAAACAGATAGGGACCTGAATACATCTTACAATAAACAACAGAAAGTGACAGTTTTTAGCCACGTTATGAGAAGAAAGAAATTGGAACTTTTTGCGGTGACTAGAAAAAACAGGAAAACAATATGAGATTTGCCAGAGTATTTTGTCATGGCATGGAAAGGTTATCAACAAACAAACTAATATGTATCGTTGGAAATTATAAGTTTTGGAGAAGTTTATCGCCCCTGCCTGTTGACAAGCACTTGATGATGGTGATAATGTTAATGATAATTGAAGTTTGTATGCACACTTTTCTACTGGTTTAATTTTCATGGCAGGCTCTTTGTAATCAAAATGTTGCTCTTACACGCTTAATGACATTTTCAAGATGGATATTATCGCGTCTCATTAAGTTTACAATTTATTGTAGACGTTTAATTAATTGTGCTCAGCTCATTAGCTATGAATGTCATATTTTAGGATACTTACGTCTTTCACAAAAATCTACCAACCAGTCAACAACTTTGTACAAATTAGACTTGATCTTCTCCTCTTCAGGAGACAGTGTGGCATTGCAGGTGGCCACTGCATGATCTACACACTGTAATAAATTGTCTTCCCTGAAAAAATAAAAAATAAATACCTTAGGGCAACCCAGTGAGCAGTCTGTGTTGTTATGACTATTTTAATACATGTATGGATACTATGAAGAAAAAATCAAATAGATTACAACAAATGACAGAGTTGGAAAATATAAATTTATAAATCAAAAATGAAGATGGAGGTGGACTGGACACTTCCTCTGAATGAAGAAAGAGAGATAGCTGAGACAGGCGATGCAATGGACACCACAAGGACAGCGAGGAAGAGGCAGGGTGAACCATTGAGGCTGAACTCAAGGCTACATGAAGGACAAAACTGGAGATATAGAGATGATGGTTCTGGATCATATTGAGTGGTGACCGTTTCTCTCTGCCTTATGTGCCTCTGGGATTGATGAGGACTGATTGATTTATGGATACTGTGACAACATAAATTTGTACATCTTATAGACAACTCAGTGAGCAGTCCATGTATTGTTAAGAACATTGTAATACACGTATGGAAACTATTACAATATCCATTAATATGTCTTGTAGACAACCCAGTGAGCAGTCCGTGTATTGTTAAGAATATTGTAATACACGTATGGAAACTATTACAATATCCATTAATATGTCTTGTAGACAACCCAGTGAGCAGTCCATGTATTGTTAAGAATATTGTAATACACGTATGGAAACTATTACAATATCCATTAATATGTCTTGTAGACAACCCAGTGAGCAGTCCGTGTATTGTTAAGAAGATTTTAATACACGTATGGAAACTATTATAATATCCATTAATATGTCTTGTAGACAACCCAGTGAGCAGTCCGTGTATTGTTAAGAAGATTTTAATACATGTATGGATAATTTGACATCAGGGAAAAAATGGGATGGAACCAGAGCTAATCTACATTTAGCAAGAGATCAAATGGTTCAGACTTGTATCAAGAATAGCACCAGATAGTGTACCCCAGAGAGCCCTGTCACTTATGCACAATGGAATCCAAGCTAGAGGTCAAACATGCAAGGGATAGATGCATGAAATATCTGAAGCTGTGAGTACCCACAACTACCTACCATGTACCAAGGGTAGCACTAGATGCCTCTCACAACATGAAGCTAAAAGACAAAACAGGGTTTTAAGAAAAGACAGAAGGAAGAAGATGATAAAGTCAAACCTGTCTCACAAGTGTGTTTATACATGTGTGGCTGAAAAGAAAACTGTCACTACTGTCTGTTTTAACACTTTTTAGGGCGGTCAAGACAGGGGGCCTTGAGCCTGAGGATTTACGGCCGCCTGGCTAGTGCTGTTGCCATGGACTGTGCAAATTAGTGGTTGAAGGCGAAGTAATAAATATCTTCTAAACACATTTACAGATATATACATTGTATTATGTCAGATTTTCTTTACACAGATTAGCTGTGATAATTATCTAGTGTGAGAGAAAAATTGGTATCCTGGGAGCAAAACTGCATTTGCTGTCCAAGTTATAACATTGTCCTGTGGGAATGAAGAAATAAACGTTATTTTCAAAGAGTCGCAAGAGATGGTAAAATGAACGCACTGCTGCATGTGCCTGTATGTGTTTTGACATTTGTCAAGCAGGAGGGAAATGATGAACAAATGAACTTTATTTTCAAAAGGGTCACAAAGTGATGGCCAGAAAAAAACACAGCTACATATTTTGTAACTATGTGAAAGAAGAAATCGCAAGAATGAGACCACAAGTGCATATGCTTGTCTGTGCTATAACAGTTGTGTTATTAACTTGGGGATTTTGGGGAGTCAAAGAAGAGGAGCCAAAGAAGATCTGGAATGACAACAGCAAAAAAAACGGATGGGACTAAATGTTTATACACTTGTATAACAAGGAAAAGACAGAGAAAGACGGCAGGCACTGTATCACCAGGGTGGCATTTACTGTATCACCATGGTGGCATTCACTGCATCACCATGGTGGCATTCACTGTATCCCCATGGTGGCATTCACTGTATCAAAATGGTGGCATTCACTGCATCACCATGGTGGCATTCACTGTATCCCCATGGTGGCATTCACTGTATCACCATGGTGGCATTCACTGTATCCCCATGGTGGCATTCACTGTATCCCCATGGTGGCATTCACTGTATCCCCATGGTGGCATTTACTGTATCACCATGGTGGCATTCACTGTATCACCATGGTGACATTCACTGTATCACCATGGTGGCATTCACTGTATCACCATGGTGGCATTTACCCCTGCCTGAAGCACTGTGGTCATGACTTTTAAAGGATATCAATCACTTACTGGCAAAACTGTGCAACTGTTAGATGATTGCTGGCCCTTGCTGCGGATATTCTTCTGCACTTGTCCAGTTGTGGACATTTGGGCTCTGTGGAATCCAAACACAGTTGTCAACACATCACAGTGTTTTACCAAGCACTATTAGGAAACTTTCATTTAAGGGCATCTTTTTTTCCATTTAATGTCCAAATCTACTTTTACTTATTATTTGCCAGCTGTTAACTCTGGCATAAAGTTCTGCATGTTTATCCTCTTCTGAACTTTGGCCCTTTTCCGAAATTAGAGTCTTTTTATTCACATTGGTTTCACCAATCTGGCTTATTTATATGCACACTGTTGGTTTCTTGCCTCTCAGGTAGATAAACTCCACAACTTTGAATGAAACATCCCTAATTAGCAACCTTGTACAACACGCTTGTTGAGGTGGCAGTGGTCTCTGTTTTTCTTTCCTCAATAAGAGAACCTTGGAAACCATACATGGAATAATGGCCATATTGTTTCTCCCTATTAATATTTACACACTAGAGCAAAATACTTCCTATATAGAAATAATGGTGCTACAAAAATCTTAGTGCCCTAACAATCTTGGTGCTACGATAATCTTGGTGCTAAGACAATCTTGGTGCTGTGACAATTTTGGTGCAGTGACAGTCTTGGTGCTATGACAATATTGGTGCTACAACAATCTTGGTGCTACATCAGTCTTGGTGCTACAGCAATCTTGGTGCTACAACAATCTTGGTGCTACATCAATCTTGGTGCTACATCAATCTTGGTGCTACAACAATCTTGGTGCAATTTTCATTTGGACAACTTATTTTCATCACTTACGTAATGCACATTTCACCCGAATGTCTTCATAATCCAACTTGGCAGCATTCAGTGTATCTTCATCAACCATTTCTCTGCATTTGCTGATGTAGCTCTCAATACAAGAAATATGCTGTGGAAGTGCTCTGAGGATAGATATCACACATGGATTTTCAAACTGAACAATGACTCTTTAAATAAACACAGTGAGCAAAAAAAAAAAACCGAACCTATATAAACAGCTAGATAAACTATTCATAGCAAGAAAGTTGACATGTGCATAATATACTATTATTGCATCCCGTGTGGGTTCCGGGGCCCTATTATAGGGAAAACAAGAATAGACCAACTGCCTACCCAAAAGCATGTCGTAAGAGTCGACTAATTGGGAGCTTCCTTTGAAGTCGGAGTGCATCTGCCTGAGAGGCAAGGAACCAACAGTCGGCACACAAATGTTTCAGAACTGTCAAACGGATGCACATGCAAAACCCAGGTTTTTGAACAGGTCTGCAGTCCAGAAGTGGACGAACAACCAAAACTTTCCACTAGAGTTTACAGCTGGTGAATGCAAAGAAGAAGGCTATTATTGCTTCCTTTATCAGGGGAAAGCCAAGACAGACACTTAACTCAGGGGAAAGCCTAGATAGACACTTAACTCAGGGGAAAGCCAAGATAGACACTTAACTCAGGGGGAAGCCAAGATAGACACTTAACTCTGGGGAAAGCCAAGATAGAAACTTAACTCAGGGGAAAGCCTAGATAGAAACTTAACTCAGGGGAAAGCCAAGACAGACACTTAACTCAGGGGAAAGCCAAGATAGAAACTTAACTCAGGGAAAAGCCTAGATAGAAAGTTAACTCAGGGGAAAGCCAAGATAGACACTTAACTCAGGGGAAAGCCTAGATAGACACTTAACTCAGGGGAAAGCCTAGACAGACACTTAACTCAGGGGAAAGCCTAGATAGAAACTTAACTCAGGGGAAAGCCAAGATAGACACTTAACTCAGGGGAAAGCCAAGATAGACACTTAACTCAGGGGAAAGCCAAGATAGAAACTTAACTCAGGGGAAAGCCAAGACAGACACTTAACTCAGGGGAAAGCCAAGATAGACACTTAACTCAGGGGAAAGCCAAGATAGACACTTAACTCAGGGGAAAGCCAAGATAGACACTTAACTCAGGGGAAAGCCTAGATAGACACTTAACTCAGGGGAAAGCCAAGACAGACACTTAACTCTGGGGAAAGCCAAGACAAACACATAACTTGGGGAAAGATGAGACAGATGTACTCTTAACTCTGGGGAAAAAAAGACAGACACTTAACTCAGGAGATTGATTTGATTTGATTTGATTCAAGAACTGACATCACAGCACTTGGGGCATTCTCATAAGTGCTCTGTCCCGATCTTCAGCAGCCAGCAAAGAGTTCCAATACTAATGGTGCCAGTTGCTTTTTGATTAAACGTTCGTCTGGAAAGCCATGATAGACACTTAACTTAGGGAAAAGCCAAGACAGACACTTCACTTAGGGGAAAGACAAGACAGACGGTCACTTAACTCAGGTGAAAGATGAGATGGACGTACACTTAACTCAGGGGAAAGACAAGACAGACATAGCAGACAGACACTTAACTCAGGGTCAAGATAAGACAGATATACAATCAGACTGCTACAGATAACACTGGGGTTGGAAGTACACCGGCTGATAAAGAGGGGGATGAAGGACTTATGGTAATGTGCTGATTGCTATAATGCCGGTTCTTAACTCATTTCAACTCTTCATCCAACTAAAACACTGAACTATAGATCGTTCCTGTCAATATGGTGGGTTTCCTGTTTTTAGTGAAACAGCCGCTGGACGACTGTTATATAAATTGAATTAGGCTTTTTTGAGCGAGCTAAAAACCTGGCCAACTTGGGGGTCAGCAAGTGATGAAACAGACGGAAGTGACCATTTTCGCTCTCTTAGGCTCACTGGTTTTAGGACGAGAAACATGTAGTTCTGATTTGTCCGTTGCGTTCAATGATTTTACGCAACGTGGGTTGAGGTGTGTAGAGAGAAAGATAGGTTCCATCTATTGTAGGGTATTTCCTAACACGTTGTGAATTGTAATGCATTATTATTTGTGAAGACCTTAGATGATGTTCAGTGAAATAAATAGATGTGAATGTGATAATGATAGTCCCAGCTTTTTGATTCGGATTAGTACTTGTGGCTAGTGTGCGTAGTTTGTTTATTTGTTACCTGGCTTATTAGACTTTACACAGAAGATCTCGTCCCTGGACTAGAATATTATTGTTTCTAGTCCCCACCTAACGAACTATTTTCCTTTATTTTTTATCTTGGTACTTAGGGCTTCTCCACCCTAGTACATTAGTTGTGACAAGTTTTTTCTTCTCCCAAATAATTAGCTTTTGGCACTTTTCTCCATGTGTAGACCAAAATGATATTTTTTCCTTTCAAAGCTACTTAATTAGGCGACACTTGAGAGGTGGATTTGATTTTGAATGCTTTTTGATTGTGCCCAATGTGGTTTATGTTGTGAAAACTGCAATTCAGAAAATATCAAGTGGCATGTTGCCAGAGAATTTGTGGTGCCTTATACAGTCAATTGCATGTAAAACTACTGATCTGTTGTTGCTGCTGCTTCCATCGATAATGACTATATTTCTAGTGTTGGACTGTTTGTGCTGGCACTTCTGACTGCTGATTTATGCATTTTATATGCTGCTGGATTTGTTAAGACAATGTCAGTCTGTTTCACAAGGACAAGTGATACATTCCAGTGTTTCACAAAGGACAGTGATACGTTCCAGTGTTTCACAAGGGACAGTGATAGATTCCAGTGTTTCACAAGGAAAAGTGATACATTCCAGTGTTTCACAAAGGACAGTGATACGTTCCAGTGTTTCACAAGGGACAGTGATACGTTCCAGTGTTTCACAAGGGACAGTGATACATTCCAGTGTTTCACAAGGGACAGTGATACATTCCAGTGTTTCACAAGAGACAGTGATACATTCCAGTGTTTCACAAGGGACAGTGATAGATTCCAGTGTTTCACAAGGGACAGTGATACATTCCAATGTTTCACAAGGGACAGTGATAGATTCCAGTGTTTCACAAGGGACAGTGATACATTCCAGTGTTTCACAAGGGACAGTGATACATTCCAGTCTTTCACAAGGGACAGTGATACGTTCCAGTCTTTCACAAGGGACAGTGATATGTTCCAGTGTTTCACAAGGTACAGTGATACATTCCAGTGTTTCACAAGGGACAGTGATATGTTCCAGTGTTTCACAAGGGACAGTGATACATTCCAGTGTTTCACAAGGGACAGTGATAGATTCCAGTGTTTCACAAGGGACAGTGATACGTGCCAGTGTTTCACAAGGGACAGTGATACATTCCAATGTTTCACAAGGGACAGTGATACGTTCCAGTGTTTCACAAGGGACCGTGATAGATTCCAGTGTTTCACAAGGGACAGTGATACATTCCAGTGTTTCACAAGGGACAGTGATAGATTCCAGTGTTTCACAAGGGACAGTGATACATTCCAGTGTTTTACAAGGGACAGTGATAGATTCCAGTGTCCCACAAGGGACAGTGATACATTCCAGTGTTTCACAAGGGACAGTGATACATTCCAGTGTTTTACAAGGGACAGTGATAGATTCAAGTGTTTCACAAGGGACAGTGATAGATTCCAGTGTTTATCAAGGGACAGTGATAGATTCCAGTGTTTCACAAGGGACAGTGATACATTCCAGTGTTTCACAAGGGACAGTGATAGATTCCAGTGTTTATCAAGGGACAGTGATAGATTCCAGTGTCTCACAAGGGACAGTGATACATTCCAGTGTTTCACAAGGGACAGTGATAGATTCAAGTGTTTCACAAGTGACAGTGATAGATTCAATCAGATAGTTTTTATTGACTCTGAAATAGAGCAGCTATGGGGTGACTCGTTTTTTGTGAAGTTTTAACAGTAATTACTAGATTACCTCACAATGCGCCAGATTTTACAACTAAAGTTTTCTATGGAATGAGGTCACTAGTTTCATGCTGACACATTTTAGTTAGCTCCAGTGACATGGATCGAAGGCTAAAGGGTTACTATTTCATTCTTCCACACCCACCCTTAACGATTCGTACCCAGATGATGTCATTATACAGATGGCTCTGGGTTGAGAGACTGACGAAGAGCATGGAGAATCATAGCAAAAGCAAATGGATGTTGCTTAGTACAGCAAAACCTGGTATATGATACCACAACATCTAATTTGAGAATGGAGGTGGAGGCTGTTGCTGCAGTCTTCCGCTGGCTTGAGTACCATTTGGCAAACTAGATGTTGTAATATATATGAGATTAGAAAATCCAATCTTTATACCGACATTAGGTTATCAATGTCAGACTTGGACATTAACAAAAGAACACGAGAGAAGACTAACCACCTGTGAAATGAGATGTTTGAGAATGGCTGCGAATAAAACCAGAAGAGATTGAGTGAGACACAATGTGATTACAAGAACTATTGGAACCATACCCATCGTTAAATTTATTGAGAAGCAAAGAATGAAATGGTTTGGTCACCTAATGAGAATGGAACCAACGATGCCAGCATCAAGAGCATACAACATGAAAATCGAAACACCAAGAGGCAGGGGAAGACCAAGAAGAAGATGGATTGAAGGAGTCACGGACAACTTGAGACTTCATAACATCACGGCATATGAAGCGACTGAGCGGGTCCTGTCTCGGTTGCCGATCATCTGATAGACTGCGATGCCTAGCGGCACAAGCAGATTTTGACAAAAGAAGAAGAAGATGTTGTAATAGTTCTTTGGGAGTGAGGGAACAGTGTGGTGGCACAAACAGAACATCACAGTCTGATTAGAATAATGTTGCCAGGTGTGACTAGGGGTGCTGGCTGATGCTCAACACTCAAGATAAAGGCAAGCTCGATATACAATCTAAATGTTGCTGGTGCCATAAGAATTGGAAGTCTACATCTGCTGCTTACAATAGGGATGGAGTGCTTGTGGGAATGTCCTTATTGCTGTAATGTTGATTCTTAATTCAGTATTCAACTTGCACATCCAGGAAGAAAGACATTCCAAAAACTTCCTCTTCTTATAGTAAGTGATGTGTTGTATTGATAGTCATGTCTATCCATAACTTTCTGTCTCATGTACTTTCAATCAATTCTGACATGGATGATCTTCCACGCCATGAGGTCAGACTGCTCATCATCTTCCCTCAGTATCCATCTGTCTCTTTTCCCCTCCAACTTTCCCACCACCACAGTGTATTCCCCAGCTGTCTACTTCTCATGACATGACAAATTAATGTAGACTGTCTCCATTCCAAAAATTACAAGAGACCGACTCACCATGACATGATTATTGACATCGGTACAAGACTGTCTCCATTCCAAAAATTACAAGAGACCGACTCACCATGACATGATTATTGACATCGGTACAAGACTGTCTCCATTCCAAAAATTACAAGAGACCGACTCACCATGACATGATTATTGACATCAGTATAAGACTGTCTCCATTCCAAAAATTACAAGAGACCGACTCACCATGACATGATTATTGACATCAGTATAAGACTGTCTCCATTCCAAAAATTATAAGAGACCGACTCACCGTGACATATGATTACTGACATCAGTACAATACCATCATTATTTTGTCGTGTCACGATAGGAGAGGATGTGGCCAAATATGTGCCAACAAGAAAAATCAAGCATTATGGAGAAATTGGCGAAAAGAGAGAAAGAATGCTGGATGGCAACAGAATGGCAGGAAATCAGAAGATGATAATCAATTTAAAAAAATAAAAAAACACTTACACACGCATGCAGGCACGCACCCCCACACACACACACACACACAATGACTGAAAAGCTCATCAATCTGAAAAGAATAGACACTTTTTGACAGCGTTATATTGGAAGCTGATGAACAGTCAAGAAAAAAATAAAACAAATAACAAAGAAACAGATCTGCTCCGATGAAATCTGTGGACATTAGCCAAAATAGTCAGGAGGCTGTTCCAACAGCTGTTCTGGAGAGATATTTCTGTGACAAAGAAGATAATCTGTATGTTTTATTCATACAAAAAAAAAAGCCAAACTCACAAGCACGTTTCTGGACCATAAGTACTATCTGGCAAGATGGCAATACAATGTGACAGCATCTGTTCACATTTAGAGGCATCAGTTTCTGGGAGGAAGAAAATAATTCAGAGATCCTGGTTATAAATGTAGCTATAATTGTTTATCTGTCACTTATTTTCTACATGTATTCTCTTTGAGCATAATTATCTCTCTTCTTCTTCTTCTTTGCCTTCACAGGCTGTAAACTCCAGCGGAAAGTTCTGGTTGTTCATCCACTGCTGGACTGCAGTCCTGTTCCAGAACTGGACTGCAGTCCTGATCCAGAGTCTTGAGTGTTGCATGTGCATCCGTTTGACAGATCTGACTAATTTGTATGCAGACTGTTGGTTCCTTGCCTCTTAGACAAATGTCCTCTGACTTTGAAGGAAGCTCCAAATCAGTCGACTCTTACGACATGCTTTTGGGTGGGCAGTAGGTCTATTCTTGTTTTCCCTGTAATAGGGCCTCAGAACCCACACGGGGAGGTTATTCCTATCTCTCTTTCTCTCTCTCTCCCTCTCCCTCTCTCTCTCTCTCTCTCTCTCTCTCTCTCTCTCTCTCTCTCTCTCTCTCTCTCTTTCTCTCTCTTATGTTTGTGTGTGTATGCATGTGTATGCACAATCACACCCTATTTTCACTGTGTGCATCATACATATATATTTTGTATGTGTATCATGTTCTCTCTATTTTATCTCCTCTGTATGTATCAAGTTTTTCTATAGGTATAATATTCTCTATATGTATAATCTTCTTTAGATAAGTATTATCTTCTCTATGTTTATTACTGTCTCTACATATGTATAACCTTCCCTATATTTTAATCTTCTCTGTATTATTATGCTTTCTTTAGGTATAATATTATTCACATGTATAATCTCCTCTATATGTATCAACTCATCTATATGTATCATCTCATCTATATGTATCATCTACTCTATATGTATCATTTACTCTAAATGTATCATGTTCTATATATGTATCATCTCCTCTATATATATCGTCTTCTCAGTATGTATTATCTGCTGTTCATAACTATCATACCATCTAAAAATATAACTGTCTATATTTGTATAATCTTCTCCATATCGACTATCCTCCACCCACTCCCCCTTTTTCCGCCATAAATATGCTATCTATTCTATATGTATTATCTATTCTATATGTATCACCTATTCAGAAGTGTAAACATTCATAGATAAAATAATGCATTTTTAAAGAACAGCAAATTGCACAATATAAAATGGTTGCATTCGGTAGAGTAAAATAAAAAAAATGTCTAATCAGTTCTATAGAGCTATAATATCTAATCAGTTCTATGGAGCTCTAATGTCTAATCAGCTCTATGGAGCTATAATGTCTAATCAGTTCTATGGAGCTCTAATGTCTAATCTGTTCTATGGAGCTCTAATGTCTAATCAGTTCTATGGAGCTATAATGTCTAATCAGTTCTATGGAGCTATAATGTCTAATCAGTTCTATGGAGCTCTAATGTCTAATCAGTTCTATAGAGCTATAATGTCTAATCAGTTCTATAGAGCTCTAATGTCTAATCAGTTCTATGGAGCTATAATATCTAATCAGTTCTATGGAGCTATAATATCTAATCAGTTCTATGGAGCTATAGTGTCTAATCAGTTCTATAGAGCTCTAATGTCTAATCAGTTCTATGGAGCTCTAATGTCTAATCAGTTCTATAGAGCTATAATATCTAATCAGTTTTATGGAGCTATAATGTCTAATCAGTTCTATATAGCTCTAATGTCTAATCAGTTCTATAGATCTCTAATGTCTAATCAGTTCTATAGAGCTATAATGTCTAATCAGTTCTATGGAGCTCTAATGTCTAATCAGTTCTATAGAGCTATAATGTCTAATCAGTTCTATGGAGCTATAATGTCTAATCAGTTCTAAGGATCTCTAATGTCTAATTAGTTCTATGGAGCTATAATGTCTAATCAGTTCTATAGAGCTCTAATGTCTAATTAGTTCTATAGAGCTATAATGTCTAATCAGTTCTTTAGAGCTCTAATGTCTCATCAGTTCTATGGAGCTATAATGTCTAATCAGTTCTATGGAGCTATAATGTCTAATCAGTTCTATGGAGCTATAATGTCTAATCTGTTCTATGGAGCTATAATGTCTAATCAGTTCTTTGGTATGAAGCTGAAACATCAACAACAGCAAAATGACTACCAATAAAATATAAACATTCACTGACTGGTGTCTAAGCAGAAAGAGTGACTTCAAATGGTATGAGGGAGTCACCAATGTGGAATATTGCGAGGGAACTAAATACATTCAAGTGAACCAAGAGGTGAGGAAAAGACATTATTGAATAAGACACGTGTCAGGAAAACCTGAGAATTATATATATAGAATGTCTACACACTGGAACCCAAAGGCAAACACACACACACACATGCACTCACACATGCACACAAATACACACAATAAAAAGAATTCAACAAAAAAAAAAGAAGAAGAGGCAGGGGTCAACCAGCATGATGGTGGACTCACGACATTAAAGACTCCAGAGTATGAAGGTTGCTAAATTTTATCAGTTGTATTATTAATATAAGACTGTTGTCTACACAGAAAGAAGAATAAATCACAACACTGAGCTACCCAGTAAGAGAGTTGCAGCAACAGTTAAAAAATATATAATCACATTTACTTGAAATATTTTTTAATATTGTATTTGACTTCAGATAAATGACTAAAAGCTGCATTCAGTAGTTTCAGTTAGTGAACACTGAACAAAGAAATATTAATAACAGATTGATATTTTTAGTACAGATGCAGTACACTGAATAATAATGAAGTGTGTGTTTATGTGACAATATAGTTAACTATATATAAATGAAATAGCTAGTCAATTACTGGAAACAGTGTTAAATTTATGTTCCTCAGTTAGCCTCAGAAACATTCCTTATAGTAGGAAATATGAACTGTGTTGACTGAAAATTAATAGACTAATAGTTTACATATACTGTAGTCTGTTTTTGAGAGTGGTTGTAATATATAGCACAAAGAAAAATAACCAGTACAAATAAACAATATAGTGTAGACATATAGATGGTCCCTGGATCTTGGGTGTAGGTACTATAGCTCTAGATTTTATGTTGTCTAGTGTGTTGTTGTTTTCTCTATTTTTTTTTGCATCTGTATCTATACGTGCCAGTTAGTACATTACTTAATGTATTGATCATTGTTTATATCAGTGGTTTTCAACATAGAGTTTAGTTCCTGAAACACGATGATCCTTTAAAATATCTATAGAAAGTTGTTTATAGCATATATCTATTTTTGTGTGAAAACTTAAAAATATCAAGCATGGTCACATAATAATTACATGAATATTTAACAGTGATGCATTTAGGGACACATTTTCAAACTGTTCAGAAGAGTCACAATATACAAGCCACAACAGTGTGATGTTTTATGTGTGTTAATTTGGGAAGACTTTACTATTACAACTATTGAATTCTTCAATGAAAGACACAAACTAAATTCAAAATATTACCCCATATATGAATTACACATGTATAATGATACAATAAAAGAAGCTACTACCACAATTATTGTGTTAATAAACTAACTGGCTTATATATAAGAGGCATGCAATCAACTCACAAATTCTTTAAAAAAAATTATAATCAAATAACTAGGAAACTAGAAAAGTCAGTGGTAAAGATAACTTACTTTGTCTTTCCCCTATATTTACATGGTTGTCGCCATCATGATATTCATCTTTGTAATCACTGTCTGTATCATCTACCAGCACGCTCAGTTGATTTTTTTCTAGATAGTCCTTATCATTTTCTTCACTTTGCCTGCTTACATTCTTGGCCAATGATATCTCAACAGTATGTTCCTCTTCTTGTTTCTCAGTTTTCAACACATCCAATTTTATCTGAGTCTCGTCATCAGTGTGCTCCTTCATGTGCCAGTCGGCAATTGGATTTATTACTGATTCAGTCTCTTCTGCTACTGCCGTGCCCTGCTCCTCCTCTGATTCTTTACCTACACCAAATTCATTATCTCCATCATCAGAGTCTGGAAATATTATCAATTGAATCACACAATAGGGTTTTTATTTGTTACAAAACACACTCATTAACATCAGATGCCATAAAGTAAACAGAGTATAGGCACAGTTATTTCCCCCATCCCTTTCTTTTACAAAATTAGACAATCCGGATCAGCACAAAGAAACATCTCATACAAAGCATGGATGCACCAGTGCCAGATATGGTGCCTCGGACAAACCATTTACAACAAAAAAACCGTGTAACCATGGAGATGCGATGTCTGAGAAGGGCTGCAGGAGTGATCAGAAAAGATGAAGTCAGAAATGAGGTCATAAGATAAATGGTTGACACAGAACCAATTCCAAATTACACACAAAGACAGTAAATCAAATAGTTTTGCTCGCGTAGATAGAATATCTTGTGACATCATACTATACAAGGCATACATCAAAAGAGGAGATGGACAAAGAGCATGAAGTAGACCAAGAACAGCATGGAAAGATAACATCATATCTCCCTTGACACCTGAAGTAGTTAAAAAGGAGGTCAAGAAGAAGAAGAGGACAGTACAAACTGAAGATTTGATTGTTGAGAAAAGTGGGTTAACGATATCATGAACAGAGAAGAAAAAAATGGTGAGGTATTCACAGTTGTATGTGTTAGATCACTTACTAAAACCTTTAATCTTAAAAGACAAATGGAATTAATGGAGAATATCAGCAATGAGATGGAGCGGCAAACACTTTTCCATCTTTCCAGACATTATTGTGACATTGTGATATGGCTAGGCAAGGAATCACTGCCCATTGCAATGGCGAGTGTGACTATCAAGAGATACTTGCACTGAGAAAAGTCTTCCAAAATTAGAGGATGGGTGCAATGAAGCTGATTTTCTCATCTGTAATTTTAAAAGCATGGGATTTCAGGACTATTTCTGCCACAGCATGTTAACAGTACCTAATCTCAGATACTCCACTTACGACCTCTCTTGACATCTCCTGACCTACCTGCAATCATTTCCTTCTTTATCCCGCTTACCTTCTTGATTTCACTTCCCTCCCCCATCCCCACCCCCAACATAATTTAATGGAAGCAATATATATATCTCTACACAAATATCTTTCAATACCTTGTGCTGTTAACCAATAAATTTATTCACAAGGGGGAAAAATCACGGTGCAATAATATACTTAAACATGCAAACATTCAGTGACAAATTTAAATGACTGGGAAACACCAAGTGTAGGTCAGATATACATAATTACGGATCTTCATCTACAGTTTATCAGGACATATTTCCATAAATTTCTACAAGGACCCTTTTACTTAGGGCATACTTAGGAGGAGACTGAGCACTTATGGTCATGTGTGATGAAGATGATCTTTAAATGAACAAACAAAAGGCGTATTGGATATTTGCTTGACTTATTTATATTTTATACACCAATAGGCAGTTAGTAAGAGATGCGTTAACATCACTCTAGCTGCCTTTCCTTCCCAGAACTTTATCTGGTATCCATTTTAGACTGGGTTGACCTTGAAGCCAAGGTCATTTTTTAAAAACATCTGACCTTATGTGGATCTGAACCCATAACCTTTAGGTCCTAGGCAAGTATCTAATTTATATTTATACAACATTGTGTAAATTGTAGACATAAATAAAAACAAGTTACTAATTTAAAGAATAAGTGCAGAAAACATACAGTAAGAAGAAAAAAATAATACCAACATAATTCTATATTACAAAAATCCAAATATGAAGAAGTCAGCCTAATTGAAAATATGATACGTACATGCAAACTAGCTCACAATTATGAAAGGTAATTATGTAAATTTTTGTTTCTTAAACAGAAATTATTCTGTACTTTTACTTTTTTATTATCAGAAATTGGACCCTACACAGCAGTGTGTCCCAGTTAGATATGACCCATTGATACCACTCTATTTTTGAAGGTCTTCTATGGACCTCAAAGTTTTAAATTGTTACATTAAAAAATATTTATTGAAAATTTATTTTAAAAAGTGTTTAAAAAAAAAAGTTAATCTATATTGGAAATAACACCTAAATAAAAGTTGGTTGAGGTTTTTCTTACTAAATGATATCACGAATCCCTTTAGTTTTGTTTCATGGTCCCCTAGAGGCATTTCATGCGTTGTCCTGTTCTGCCATTATGTGTCACATAGGGCTCACAGTCTGTTTCCCCATTCCATTCTATCCTGCGCAATCTCTTAAATATCATCAATGGAATTCAATCCAGTATCCTTGGCTTTTCTCACCAGCGTTCACTTTATCGTTTCTCTTGGATGTCCTCATTTCCTCTATTTCTTATTTCAGTGCTTCTTAGATGACTCTCTGTCATCTATTCCCAGAATGGGTCCAATATAGTGACATCTTCTCTGTCTTATAACTGTTGATACCAGGGGTTGACAAGACATTTCTCTTATTTCTTCACTCCTCTGGAATTCATTCCATTTTATGTTCATCATTTTCACTAGGCATTTAACTTTGATTCCATATTTTTAGTTGTTCTCCAACTTTCACTGGCATATGTTAACACTGAAATAACAAACCAATTGAAAGTATGTAACTGGGTTCAAAAACTACAAAATTTAGAGTTGCTTATTTTGTTCAAACTTGTAAATGCTGCTGATGCCTTGCCAGTGCACATCATAATTTCTGTCTTTGTGTTTCCTTGACTATCAATAAATATTATTACCTTGATAAACAAAATAAGCAAACTGATCTGTTACTTGAATTCTTCTTGTCTCTAGTGTTGATCTCTTGATGTTTGTTTGTTTTAGTATCCAGAAGCCATGAGTTGTTAACCCTTAGGCTCGGTATTATGGATATCGCAACCTTTCGGCCTTGATTCCGTTGTAAATACCCTAAATCTGGGAGAAAATGTGGCTTTCCTGCCCACCCCCGGAATTGAACCCGGACCACAAGGAGTTTGTCACCCGGTCTCCGCACATTCCGGCTTAGCAACTAGGCTAGAGAGCCGGACTAATCTCTTGATACGTTCTTGATATTTTCAGTAAATTTTCCTCTTCACAACTTATTTGTAGTCCAACTTTTGATGCTATTTTTGTTGAAGCATCAGTTTTTTCTATGTATGTCATTGCTAAGTTTCTGCAGATCACTAATAATGAACCACAGCTGTACAATCAGACATCAAACTACAGCTAATTTCATGCATTTTTAATCAAGTTCTACAGAAATGAGAAGACTAATCTTAGCTATGCAGTAATTAGCCCTGTTGCCCTGAGAATGGTTATACAAAAATGGGGCCATCACCCTATGGAATTCTGCCTCCCCCCCCCCCTTTTCCCCCTGCAAAAAAAAAAAAAAACCCATTAAAAACCCTAACCATTTAACGCAGGTCACTAATAAAGTTTCGGCTATTCTCCGACTAACGGTCGGCAACGATGGGGGGGGGGGCGCAAAATATCCAGTCGAGCCACAGTCACGTGTCAAATGCGCGCTTCTGGCTACTTTATTTTTTCGGTCTTCTGGCGGTTTTCCGCCAACAACCACTAACGCCACGTGGCCCCCATGCCGCTCACATGGCATGGATTGGGGCTAAACTAAAAGGCTAGGACTCACGAGCAGCAGCTTCCGCATCTCCTGCAGCCTTGCTCGTGAGTCCTAGCCATCTAGTTTAGCCCCAATCCATGCCGCATGAGCAGCGTGGGGGGACCTGGCGGTAGCCATAGTCACCGGAAAAGCGCACATTAAGTAGACGGAAACGCGCAATTGACACGTGACTGTTTCTCGACTGGATATTTTGCGCCCCCCATCTTTGCCGACCGTTAGTCGGAGGATAGCCAAAGTTTCTAAAAATTGATTTCTCTACATTTTTTTTTCAACATTTAAAAAAAAAGGAAATATTAAAAGATAGAGTGTGATGAATAAACATGAACAGAATGTAACATTAAATAGAATGCATTCCCCAGAGCCTAAAAACTAATGCATCAAGTGACTCATGCTGTGAAACCAAGACCTCTACCACTGGTGCTAACGACACAATCTGACATCAAAGTGGTTTTAGAAAAGCCATCTGGCTCACTGGGGAACCTCTCTAAATGCTAATTTTAGTAAACATATTCATATCCTGACCTCCTAAACACTGCGCAAGTGCAAACAGAGCCAAGAGCATTAGCTATTTGTCTTATAAACATGTTATTGTAGAGAAGTCAGTTAAGTCACATTTACAGGGGACTAGCCCATTATAAGTGTCAGTGTTGCAGCTTCTTGGTTGGACAGAGGTGTTCAGCATTCAGAGTTTATGAAACAACACTAACACACAAGAGTTAAATTACACATTTTCAGAGCATGCAACTTGTGTTTTGTTTGTAGCAACATATGGATATGAGTCATCTATCATTGTGTAATCAATAAATACATTAAAGTTGGTACATTGAGGCTCTTAAATGTTGTAAAATATTGTACTGTGGATCAATCAGAAAAAAAATACAAAGATTCTACAAGTTCCTATTACTGTGGAAGACTAGCCTGTAAACAGTGCCATGTCTCTAGTACTGGAATACTTTAACCATTTCTTCTTCTACTTAGTGTTCGTCAGCTGTAAACAGTGCCATGTCTCCAGTACTGGAATACTTTAACCATTTCTTTTTCTACTCAGTGTTTGCCAGCTGTCAGAAAAGTTCCAGTTTTTTGTCCACTTCTGGATTCTGGTCTTATTTCAGAACTTAGTTTTGTGTGCACATTTATTTTACAGATTGACTTATTTGTGTGCAGACTGTTGGTTTGTGGTGGGTATATGCGCAGGTTAGCATATGCACTACATAAAAAAACATTCACGCGAACTAACTTACATAGTCAAAAAGCTAAATAGTTTTTGCAAAACAATATTTTTATTTTTATTTATTTGCCACTTAAGAAAATTAAAAATTAATCTATCTAAAATTAGACTACTCTTGTCCCCCTTTTCTCATGATATTTAATTAAACACTATGTGAATCTTTAACTGTAGAGCGCTCCATAAGTCCCACCAGTTTCCAACTAAATGTGTCACATGTGATAAAAGTTGTGAAGGCTGTATTGTGAAAATATGTCAGTGTGAAGCAAAAAAGTCATTATGGGGGGGAACTTATTGAACACAAAATGGTGTCACTCTTACCTCCTATTTCCACGGAAGCATCACCCTTGGCTAAAAACAAAGACACACAATTTATGTTTTTATAGGGCTGTTTTTTTTTACAGACTCCTTCCTAGTTTCATTAAAATACAGTTGATGCTTGCAGGAAATAAACTAGGAATCGCTGTAGATATGATAAAATTTTTTTACAAAAACTGGTCAACACTGACAGAAAGAAGTATAGAGATACCAGGACACACTAGCAAAATAAAAATTGAAGGTTCTAGTTACATGCCAGGAATCGAATTTGTCATCTCAAAGTGACAAAGGCGCCTCACTGTAGAAACAAGTGTACAAACATCCAAGACCACTCAACACCTCTAAAAAAAAAAAAAGGTGTCATCAAAAGCCAGGTATATCATACAGTTTGAAACGCTTTAAGGACACCTTGAAGTCTTCACTTAAAGCATTTGGAATGAATGACACCAACTGGGAGGCTGCCTCTCAAGACCGAAATGTATGGCATGCAACTATACACAATGGTGCGGCTACATGTGAAGCAAACAGAACTGCGAGACTGATTAAGAAAAGGATGTACAGAAAGGCGGCTGCAGGAGATCACCTCCCTGGCACAACGCTCATTCCCTGTCCTCACTGTCCAAAAACTTTTCGGGCCCACATCGGCCTCATCAGTCATCTTCGTACTCATACTTGATAAAAAAGAGTGGTTATCATCATCACACAACACACACATAGTTTGAATCCACAACTATGGAATACAGACAGAATTCATTTTAAACCACTGAAAAAGCGTTACTTTCCTTTCCCTTACAAAGATAAAACAAAAATCTTGCTAGCATTTCTGCATGATCAGGACGAACATTTTAGTATTTCACCCTGAATGGAAACTGTTCAGACATTCCAGAAGACAGGCAGAGCAGGCACAATAGGCAGACAGACTGGTGGGTTATGCACCACTTTTCAGGTGCGCTGACATAAAGAAAACATGAGGAGGGGCACTCAAGATGTAATCCTAGTTTAAGAAAATAATATTGATTATAATGGTGTGTTTAATGGCAAATAAATGTAAAAACACATTTGAAATAGCTTAGAATGTAGAAGCAGATAATTTTGTTTTAGGAAAATCATTTATATGCATCAGCAACTTGCCACTTATTGACTTATAGGGGAGGGTAAACTCAGTTCCTTCCCCCCATCCCCATCTCCACACTCTGTAAGAAAATGGGTAGGAGGCCTCAAAGGGCTTGAGACCCAAGTTTTAGCCCTTATGCCACTTGGTGGTAAATTGAGGCATAATAAGCTAGATGACAAGGCCCTTTGGGAGTGAGTGAACAGTGTGAAAGTACACAGATAATTACTAACAGAAGAGGATGATGCAGTGTGGAGTGACCAGTGAGTAGGGTTCAACACTTAGGAGAAATGCAAGACAGTCATTCAATCAGACAGGTTCAACACTTAGGAGAAAGGCAAGACAGTCATACAATCAGACAGGTTCAACACTTAGGAGAAAGGCAAGACAGTCATACAATCAGACAGGTTCAACACTTAGGAGAAAGGCAAGACAGTCATACAATCAGACAGGTTCAACACTTAGGAGAAAGGCAAGGAGAAAGGCAAGACAGTCATACAGTCAGACAGGTTCAACACTTAGGACAAAGGCAAGACAGTCATACAGTCAGACAGGTTCAACACTTAGGAGAAAGGCAAGACAGTCATACAGTCAGACAGGTTCAACACTTAGGAGAAAGGCAAGACAGTCATACAGTCAGACAGGTTCAACACTTAGGAGAAAGGCAAGACAGTCATACAATCAGACAGGTTCAACACTTAGGAGAAAGGCAAGACAGTCATACAATCAGACAGGTTCAACACTTAGGAGAAAGGCAAGACAGTCATACAGTCAGACAGGTTCAACACTTAGGAGAAAGGCAAGACAGTCATACAGTCAGACAGGTTCAACACTTAGGAGAAAGGCAACACAGTCATACAATCAGACAGGTTCAACACTTAGGAGAAAGGCAACACAGTCATACAATCAGACAGGTTCAACACTTAGGAGAAAGGCAAGACAGTCATACAATCAGACAGGTTCAACACTTAGGAGAAAGGCAAGACAGTCATACAATCAGACAGTATTTGGTACAATCGGGACTGGAACTCTGCACTAGCTTCTGAGGTGGAGATGAAAGGATAATAGAAATGCCCTGAGTGCTAGAACATCATTCCTAAATCATATTAGCTCACCACACACACACAAAACACACATTCTGAGCAAGAGTAAAAGCAGAAACAGAAACTGGCTAAAAGCTATCAGTTGTGTCATGTTTCTCCACAACAGAAACACAAAACTGGCTCAAAGCTATCAGATGTGTCATGTTTCTCCACAACAGAAACAAAAAACTGGCTCAAAGCTATCAGATGTGTCATGTTTCTCCACAACAGAAACACAAAACTGGCTCAAAGCTATCAGATGTGTCATGTTTCTCCACAACAGAAACACAAAACTGGCTCAAAGCTATCAGATGTGTCATGTTTCTCCACAACAGAAACAAAAAACTGGCTCAAAGCTATCAGTTGTGTCATGTTTCCTCACACCAGAAACAGAAAATGGCTCAAAGCTATCAGTTGTGTCACGTTTCTCCACACCAGAAACAGCAAATGGCTCAAAGCTATCAGTTGTGTCACGTTTCTCCACACCAGAAACAGAAAATGGCTCAAAGCTATCAGTTGTGTCACGTTTCTCCACACCAGAAACAGCAAATGGCTCAAAGCTATCAGTTGTGTCATGTTTTTCCACACCAGAAACAGCAAATGGCTCAAAGCTATCAGTTGTGTCATGTTTCTCCCCACCAGAAACAGCAAATGGCTCAAAGCTATAAGATGTGTCATGTTTCTCCACACCAGAAACAGAAACTGGCTCAAAGCTATAAGATTTGTCATGTTTTTCCACACCAGAAACAGCAAATGGCTCAAAGCTATCAGTTGTGTCATGTTTCTCCACACCAGAAACAGCAAATGGCTCAAAGCTATAAGATGTGTCATGTTTCTCCACACCAGAAACATAAACTGGCACAAAGCTATCAGTTGTGTCATGTTTCTCCACACCAGAAACAGAAACTGGCTCAAAGCTATCAGTTGTGTCATGTTTCTCCACACCAGAAACAGAAACTGGCTCAAAGCTAACAGTTGTGTCATGTTTCTCCACACCAGAAACATAAACTGGCACAAAGCTATCAGTTGTGTCATGTTTCTCCACACCAGAAACAGAAACTGGCTCAAAGCTATCAGCTGTGTCACATTTCTCCACACCAGAAACAGAAACTGGCTTAAAGCTATTAGTTGTGTCATGTTTCTCCACTTGTGCAATATCAGGCCATTGTCAATTTTCAGAAACTAAGGCTGTGAGCTGGTGCATACAACTCAAGACCTGTCAAGGAATAAAAGCAATTTCAAAAGCAAAAAAATGTGTTTTTAGCTCTTTCAGTCCAGGTAGAGGTGATAGGATCGTCTTCACTGCACAGGGTTTTATCCCATATGGTTCAGTCTCTCTCCACAGAACAGCTAACTGCCTGCCGAGAGCGTCACACACAGCACTACTTCTGGAGCTCTGGTGACGATCTCCAAAGATCTCAATAAATACTGCACTCGTGAACTGAATGGCACTGCCAAGAAATGAACCCATGACTTTCAGAGCGCGAGGCAAACGGCTTGACCACTCCACTATGGAGACCACCCTTTTTCAGTACAGAGGACTGTTAAACATAAATCAACACGATTGCGTACTGAAAAAAATTAAATTATCATTATCATCATCATCATCTTTAAGTGCCTTGCCAGCTGGCATAGGCATTCATCAGATCTTGGTCTTTGTTCTGGATCAATTCTACTGATGATATTTCTCCTTACCAATGTCTCAAGCCATCCATCATCTTTCTCTTGGTCTACCTCTGCCTCTTCTACTAGTAATCATTCCAGTCATCATATTTTCCAGCACTCTTTTTCTTATTTTAGGACCAAAGAAATTCGTTAAAATTAAATTATAGTTTCTAATATACCTTTGACTTCAATCATAATGGGTGAGCTTTGTCGTTTTCCTGCCACATTTTCAGCCACACAAATATATTCTCCCGTATGTTCCAGTTCAGTCTCTGTGAAAACTAGTAAGTTGTTCTGGACAATATTTACAGCATCAAAGTTTTCTCCATCCTTGAGCCATGACACCTTGGTTGAAAAAAAAAAAAGAACATGTGTATCTTTAGGCTTTTTCTCAGATATAATACAAAGGAATTTAAAATTGCACATCTGGGAAGGCTAAGCCAAATAACAAATGCCCAAACTAGGAAAGTGTTGATGTTTCACCATTGGCATGGTCTGCATTTATATCTAATTTGTCTGCCCGGCGCGTCAGCTAGGTTGGTTAAACCTGACTGCCCGGTGACTGGATGACGAACTCCTTGTGGTCTGGGTTCATGCCCAGGAGTAGGCAGAAAAGCCACATATCTCTCAGATATACGGTACCTATCATGGAATCAAGACCAAAGGGTTGCGATATCCATAGTACTGAGCCATACGGTTTACAACTCATGGTTTCTGGATATTTAAAAAAAAAAGTGTCTATAAAAAAGGCACTTTATTTAAACATGCACAAGATCAAAATAGTGTAGGTCTTGGCTTAAATGTTAGTGAATGAGTTTAACAATATCATGACCCTGAAGTACTAGGCTTCAATTCTGGCAGCAGAAGTGTTTTTTCATTTGTAATATTTCCATGGGTTTCTAAGGACTATTCAAGATGGCAGCATGGAAGAGATGATGTCCTCACGACGTAATAATCCAAACCACACAAATAAGGCAACGTCATGTCCCATGAAACTAGCCAGGAAGGCTAATATGGTGAACAAATACTTGATGAAGTCAGATGTTTTGGCCAAAAGGAGCAAATATTGAAGCTATGCTTCAACAGGCACAACACAATGATGTCACTTGGACGAACCAAAAAAAAAAAAAAAAAAAGAAGAAGATATTACCAACAACAGGAATAGGTACTGCAGCCAACCTTCATGATGGAGATGGCACAACAAATTTTTTTTTAGGTCACAGTACTGTATGATGTGGTGACCAACTCTCTTGCACACAATGAAGCCTTGCCAGGCAATTTATAATTATTGCATTTGCATTATGTAATGCTGGACTGACATCAGTGCTTGACTGCAGTATGGCTGGCATCAGTGCCTGACTGCAGTATGGGAACAGATAACATAATGGACTGACATCAGTGCTTGACTGCAGTATCCAAACAGATAACATAATGGACTGACATCAGTGCTTGACTGCATTATGGAAACAGATAACATAATGGAATGACATCAGTGCTTGACTGCAGTATCCAAACAGATAACATAATGGAATGACATCAGTGCTTGACTGCATTATGGAAACAGATAACATAATGGAATGACATCAGTGCCTGACTGCAGTATGGGAACATAACATAATGGAATGACATCAGTGCCTGACTGCAGTATGGAAACAGATAACATAATGGAATGACATCAGTGCGTGACTGCAGTATGGGAACAGATAACATAATTGACTGACATCAGTGCCTGACTGCAGTATGGGAACAGATAACATAATGGACTGACAGCAGTGCGTGACTGCAGTATGGGAACAGATAACATAATGGACTGACATCAGTGCCTGACTGCAGTATGGGAACAGATAACATAATGGACTGACATCAGTGCGTGACTGCAGTATGGGAACAGATAACATAATGGACTGACATCAGTGCTTGACTGCAGTATGGAAACAGATAACATAATGGACTGACATCAGTGCCGGACTGCAGTATGGGAGCAGATAACATAATGGACTGACATCAGTGCTTGACTGCAGTATGGGAACAGATAACATAATGGACTGACATCAGTGCGTGACTGCAGTATGGGAACAGATAACATAATGGAATGACATCAGTGCTTGACTGTATTATGGGAACAGATAACATAATTGACTGACATCAGTGCTTGACTGCATTATGGAAACAGATAACATAATGGAATGACATCAGTGCGTGACTGCGGTATGGGAACAGATAACATAATGGAATGACATCAGTGCCTGACTGCAGTATGGGAACAGATAATAAAATGGACTGGCATCAGTGCTTGACTGCAGTATGGCAACAGATAACATAATAGACTGACATCAGTGATTGACTGCAGTATGGGAGCAGATAACATAATGGAATGACATCAGTGCTTGACTGCAGTATGGGAACAGATAACATAATTGAATAGCATCAGTGCGTGACTGCAGTATGGAAACAGATAACATAATGGAATGACATCAGTGCGTGACTGCAGTATGGGAACAGATAACATAATGGACTGACATCAGTGCTTGACTGCATTATGGGAACAGATAACAAAATGGACTGACATCAGTTCGTGACTGCAGTATGGGAACAGATAACATAATGAAATGACATCAGTGCCTGACTGCATTATAGGAACAGATAACATAATGGACTGACATCAGTGCTTGACTGCATTATAGGAACAGATAACATAATGGACTGACATCAGTGCTTGACTGCAGTATGGGAACAGATAACATAATGGAATGACATCAGTGGATGACTGCAGTATGGGAACAGATAACATAATGGAATGACATCAGTGCATGACTGCAGTATGGGAACAGATAACATAATGGACTGACATCAGTGCGTGACTGCAGTATAGGAACAGATAACATAATTCACGTTTATGTGTAATTCCTGATTCATAAAATACTCTAATAATGAGACAAAATGACAGTATAGCAGCTTGGGTAGAGCGGGTTAGAGTAGAAGGATTATGGGACAGAATCATTTTAGAAAATGGTGTATAGAGAAACTAAGAAACTCATGACGAGTTTCTGGTTATTGAAAGAGTTAATGAGTTAAATAGAAAAACAAACCTTTGGCTCTGGGTTCCCTTGAGGAGGTTTGCAGAAGATGGTCAAGAAACCTCCTTCAGTGACAATGTGACCCTCTGGTTCCTTTTCAAATTCCTCGTTTAGATCTAAAAGATTTAAGAGAAGGCGTTAGATTCAATTTTCATCACTTGAGTCTTGCTTTTTTTTTCCTCACATGCTATTCAGTCAGTTTAAACATGTGGCTGTGAATCCTGGGCAATTATTAAACAAGCCAGAAACTTCTTGAGGTCTTTGGGAGATTTAGTTTTTACAGAGGAATCCTTACATTTCCTTGGACAGTAAGAGAAAAAAAAAAAGTAGATGCTTTAAAAAAAAGGGAGGGGTTAAAGACAACTTATAAGCATCAGAAAGAGATAGTCATCGCTTTTTGATGATGTTATAAGAAGAACATGTTGGGACGACTGGAAAGATCTGTGGAAAAAAGAGAGAGGATGACAATAGCAGACCATTTTTTTGACAAGCTTTTATCATGGCATGGATGGGTGGGTTGCAGCACATGAACTGATGTATGTTCTTGAAGATAGCAGTTTGTTGAGAGGCATAAAACTTTCATAAACACTTATAAAATAAACATAGATTTCATCTAAAGCATCCAAGAAAGAGAACGTGTAATAAAAAACTGGCTATGAACAAAATTACAAGTCAAAGATCTTGTTTCCCTGTCATGTGGCATGTTAAAGACCTGGTAAGTAAAAGTTTTGGATCCTACAGTCTGTCTGATGATACAATTTCTAACTTTGTCTCAGATGGTTAAGTTGGCGGCTCTTCTCAGGCATCTTATTTTACAGGTGTTAATTGAACGCAGGTTAGTCTTTGATAATGTCTAAGTCTGGAACTGGTAGCACAATACTGGGGGAAAAAAGCAAATTTCTGATTAAGCTTTTATTATTTTTTGTAGTCTGTTTTACTTGCATCCTTCTAGACTTTATTGTGTCTATGCAGCATGTATGTCATGCCTAAAATTAGTTTTTTGCCAGCCTTGTCTATTCAGGTTCTGGTTCATGAGGTTTCCGCTGCCACCAGGTGGTGCTTATTGGGTAGTCCTAAGAAGGACTTGTCTTAGATTGGTTGTGTGCCTGCTAACCGCCATTTCTCTTCGTGCTTCTAGTGTCGTCCGCCTTTGGTTTGGTGGTTTCTGTTGAGTTTTTTCAGGTTTAAATGTTGAATGTTGAATAAGGAATCAACATCACAGCACTTGGGACACCCCATAAGCGCTCCGTCCCCATCTTCAGCAGCAAGCGAAGAGTTAAAATTGAGATGGTAACAGTAACTGTCTGACTGTATATCCATTTCGCCTTTCCCCTGAGTGTCAAGCATCCGCCAGATCCCCATTGTAACTCCTCACAGTGCCATTCTCCTCAGGCCATAATGATCTATCTGTTCCTCTGCACTGTTCACTCGCTCCCAAAGGGCCCTCACAACATCCAGCTTGTCACATATCAGTTTACCACCAAGAAACCGGCCAGTCTATCTGCCTGCTCATTTCCCAACACACCGGCATTAACCTGGAGAAAATATCCAAAGGATGCTAACTACCCGGGATCTTCAGGTCTATGGTCCTGTACCTTCCTTCCTCTGATGCTGTTGTCTTCTTCATCAGTTGCTGGTTGCATTTCTCCAACTGTTGTTCAATGTCAGTCATTCAATAGGCACTTTGGTCAGTATTATCCCTGCTATTTTTTATGTCCAGAAACATTTCCTTTGACCTATTTTATACTGGGTCAACCTTAGACTTGAAATGAAAAAGAGAAACAGGCAAGTCAATGAGTCTTTCTGCTGGCCATGATGGCTGTAACATTCTGCAAAGGAGCTTCTACATGAGAATCTTTATTTGGTGATGTATAACACAGTTCTCATAATTAATTTATACACAACCCATGCATTTTCAAAACAAACAAACAAACAAAACATTACATATTCATGATCATCATCATCGGCACAACTCATGAAAGTCACTCCATCTTGATAGCCACCAGAATTTTTTAGGGAATTCCCAAAACACTTCTATAGTCTAGGAGTGTCATGTGTTCCTCATTTTGAATGTTTTAAGCCCATCTACCTACAATGACAGCCACCACAAATGACCGTAAAAGTACAAAAACATCACTGATTTGATACTTTGTCTCAGATGATTATTACACTGGCAGCTTTCCTTGCAACTCTGCTAACTGTACATAGGTTACCTTTGGTAATGTCCAAGTTTGATACTGGTATCAAAGTACTGGTATGAATACCCTGTTTATAATCTGTTTGCATGTTAAATTTCACACTGATGGAGTTTAAAAATATACTATTGGAATACATAGCATGAAATGAGCTATACTTACATGCTATTTTCACAGCAGCTTTAGTACTGTTTAACACTTTATACTCTCCAGTGGCAGAAACCCGATAATGAGCAAAGCACTGACACGAATATTCCTCTCCAGCTTCATAGTTTTCAACTTTCTCCTTCGACACATTTACTGAAGCTTCAAAAACTTTCACTGATTCTGACTGCCCATTTGAACGAACTTGTTGCTCCACCCTGACAAAGACATTCAAATCTTCGACACTCTGCATTCCACAAGTGAAGGTGATAGATTCCACATCGTATGCTTCACAGGTTATAGTTACTGGCTTGTCCATGATGAGGTAATAGATTGGTTGAAGGTCCTGAAATGTAAAGTGTAAAAGAAAAAATAATAAAATGTAAAGAACAACAGTCACATGACAATTAGGCATGTTAGAATAAAGCCTACATTTTTATTTGTGCATTCCATATATACGAAGCAGCGAATAAGAACTGAGTATTTGCATAAAATGTAAAACTTTTTTTCCACCTATTTGGAGTCGGAATTCAAATGTGCGTCTTTGGCATATTGTAAACTTATTTTTTTTTTAAAACAAAAAACGTATTTAGATAAAAACTGCTAACAATGCACTAAACTGACTTTGGAAAAATGGTGTGTGGATTCAAACACTAGTCATTAGACTGAGAGGTAAACATAAAATGTTCAGCCTCTGCTCTATCAAGGCACTGAGCTATTAAAATAAAATGTAAACCAAACAAGCTTTTCCACACCAGTAGCTTAACAGGCAAGTAGTGCTTGACTCCCGTTTTTATGAATCAGCCATCACTTGACGAGTGTTGGGTCTTAGAGCTGTACTGCTTGGAAAAATATAACAATGCCACTTTTAGGAATTGAACACATGAAAATATTGGTGGTAGGTTGTCTGTGCTAAGTACTACACCATCACAGCCTATATATTTTTCTCCTACGTTATCTTCTTCTTCTTTTCCATTGTTTTCTTCTTGGTTTTACATAGGCTTTTGTTTTCTGACGGCATGCAACAGTATGCAGTACATGCCGGCATGCAACAGTATGCAGTACATGCCGGCATGCAACAGTATGCAGTACATGCAGCCTTTTAAAGACATCATTGTTTTTGCGCTTCTGTAATAACAGGCACTTTTTAAAAGACATATTGTGTTGAGTACGGACACTTTTAATCTAGGGGATAAAAAAACAGTCTTATGTGGCTGGTATATTGTGTAAGGGTTTACAGCTAGGCTGCGATATCTGCACAATACAACTGATTTCAACAAATTCCTAATTAGTCACTTTCAACAGCATGCTGGTTAAAGGGCAGTGAGTTGATTCTTCTGTCCCCACCCCCCCCCCCCCCCCCCGGTCCCCCATATTTAACCCCCCTATAATGGTAGCCAAGAAGTCGCACCGTGAAGCTGTCTTCAATACCTTAGAAATGTAGGGAGTGTCAAAATATGGTCTCTGGACTAAAGTCAGCGTGGTTGACTCTGGCTCTGGCTGGACTGTCCGTGTGGTGGGCCCTTCTTCTGTCTTTGTTACATCAACTGGTTCCTCATCTGCAAAAAGTTCACACAATTATAAGCAAAATTATAATGGCTGAATGTCATAGAAGTACTAGAGCTCTTGTTATGGGAATGTGGCAGCCTTGGTAGTGTAGTGGCTAAACACTAGCCTGCTAGCAGAAAGGTCTTGTGTTCTGAACTACACTGAGGCAGGTTTCTTCAATAATTAACTTTGCTTCCCAGTCTTAGCTTAAAATGGGTAGCAGGTAAACTAATGGGAAGTCAAGGTGGTGGTTTAATGTTGACTGGACTGATGATTGGTCTAGTATCATTTGCACAGTGGATTACTACTGTGAAACTCTAAGATTTTACTTATGGCAATGTATTGTAGGTTTTTAACTCTTTGAGTCCTAAGGAACGCATGATACGTTCATAGGTTCCCGCCTAGAGGCCCAATGAATGCAAGATGTGTCAATTTTACATCTCTTTTGACTACCCCCTTGGGCCTCTGATGATAAACCCCCTGGGACTCAAAGAGTTAAACATATGGGGCTAGTACAAGATAGTCCACTTTCTACTTTTGTATTTTTTCCGGGTCAGGAAGGTGTGGTAAGAAATGAAGAGGCAGATGGACTGGTAGATTCTGCGCCACTTAGTGGTTAATTGATGCATGACAAGCCAGATATTGGAAGAGTCCTTTGAAAGTGAGTGAACAGTGCAGATGCACACAGAAGTCATCACGGTTTCCCGAGAATGTTACTGCAAGAAGTGACCAGGGGATCTGGCCAATGCTCAACACTCAAGGGAAAGGCAAGATGGACATTCAATCATATATTTACTGATGCCACTGAAACTGGAACTCTGCGCTTGCTGCTGAAGATGAGGACAAAGAACTTATCGGAATGTCCCACATGCTATGATGTAAACTTTTAGTTCAACATTTAACATATTATCCAGTTTCCAGAAAATCAAATGTTTTAATTCCCTTTCTAAGCATTAATATTTTAAAAATTTTCCTCTACTACCAGGTCAACGTTGTCTAAAATGGGTACCAAGAAATATTTTTTGACTTTATAACCCACTGAAGGTCAGTCAATATAAAAAGTCTATAAACATATGGGTTTAACATAATATACTCAGTGTGCCTCAAGATGTAGTGAAAGTATAAGAACTCTTCTGCCCAAGAAGCAGCAAAACTGACATGGTTTTGACTAGGTTTTGGGATACTGATGAATCACAGCTCCTAACATGGCTACATGACTTGAGAATAAAGTCTGGTAGAGCACGTCTATGCTGTCATCAGTCAAGGTCAAGACAGGAGATACTATAACCAACTTCTCATGGTAACAATAAGCAGAGGTACTTTGGAGTGGTTGCTGCATCAGAGGACTGAGCACGCGTGATAATGCCAATGTGCAGGGATCGATTGTAATAACATAACGTCATAAAATAATACTGCCTTCAGCTGTCACCACCATTACCACACCACCACTACCACACCACCACCACCACACCACCACCACCACACCACCACCAACACCATCATCTTCAATCATCATCATAAAGCAGTTTCTTTTTTCAGAAACTGTCCTCCCATCCCAGCCTGCTAAAATGACTCTTGGTCTCCAGTTGATTCTCCGGCCTCATGCATTTTCATTACAAAGTATCCAAGGTATCTTTACCATTTTCTACCCACCTAGATCATGTTCAACCCTAGCCATCTATTCTTGGAACCTTGTCTTCCATTGCTGTTTTTTCAAACCACTTTGACATTAAAAACAACCAGATGTTTTGAAACAGGCGAGGGCTAGAGTCGCTTATAACAGATATTAACCGTGTGGATTCCGGGCCCTATTGTAGGGAAAACAAGATTAGATCCACTGCTTACCCACAAATCTTGTCGTAAGAGTTGATTAATTGGGAGCTTCCATGGTAGTCGGAGTGCATCTGCCTGAGAGGCAAGGAACCAACAATCTACCTACAAATAAGTCAGATCTGTAAAATGGTTGTGAATGCAACACTCAAGTTCTGAAACAGGACTACAGTCCAGGCATGGACGAATACCCAGAACTTTCTGTCAGAATTACAGCTGGTGAACACGAAGAAGAAGCAGAAGAAAAAAGAGGCAGTCATCATTTTTGGTCATTTTATGAGAAAAAGAAAACTGGAAAGTGTTCTGACTACTGAAAAGGTCTGTAGAAAAAATGACAGAAAGACACTGTGGGAAGATTCCTGACAGCCTTTGGTCATGGCATGGAGGTGTGTGAGCACACAATTGATACACACCATTGAAGACTGCAGATTGTGGAGGGGCAGGATCACCCATGCCGGTCGGCAAGTCACTTCATGACAATAATATACAATTTTAAAGACTTGATATGAATTATGAGCCAGTTTTCTTCAGTATTCAGATCTTTAAACTCTTTTTTTCCTTTTATTTTACAATCCAATTATGACTTAAAACAGCTGAAGGAATAGCAGGGAGATAAAATTAAAAATTAAGAACTGAGAAGAAGACTAGGATTGGAAGACTAGGATTGAAAGACTAGGATTGAAAGACTAGATTGAAATACTAGGATTGAAAGACTAGGATTGAAAGACTAGGACTGAAAGACTAGGATTGAAAGACTAGGATTGAAAGATTAGGACTGAAAGACTAGGATTGAAAGACTAGGATTGAAAGACTAGGATTGAAAGACTAGGATTGAAAGACTAGGACTGAAAGACTAGGATTGAAAGACTAGGATTGAAAGACTAGGACTGAAAGACTAGGATTGAAAGACTAGGATTGAAAGACTAGGACTGAAAGACTAGGATTGAAAGACTAGGATTGAAAGACTAGGACTGAAACCCATCATACAGTTTTTTAAGATGAGATAGTTTGGCCATTTGACAAGAATGCCCTGGTACCAACTGCCACAGAAAGCCAGCTGAATAAATACAATGAAATAGAGTAAGGGAAACGCTACAAAAGAAGAAATAATAGCATCAACAGCTGTATGACAAAAGTTAAGGCAATTTTATAAAATGTATTATAAAGAACACACAGAAGGTCCTTATACCCCCCCCCCCCCCCCCCCCCCCCCACCCCCACCAAACTGGAGGAATAGGAAGAAGACTAACTAAAAAAAAAAGGCCAGGTTTTCTACTAAACATCACATTTCCTATGTTATATAAATGTGATTCATTTTGATTCTGAATTTCCAATGGATAGATGTACACAACTCGACAATGTGGTTTATGCATTTTAGCTAGAAAAGGATTTATCTTGTGCTTCATTTTATGTTGATGCAACTCTGTAGTAATGCACCTGACGAGATACTGTGAAATATACGAGGCAATAAATTGTGCAACGTATTGTTTGAGTTCGCATTATTTAAATTGACGATGAGAAAACATTGTTTCAAACATCAGATTCTTGGTTTTACCTGATAAGCTGACAATAGCAGTCCTGCTTGTCCTTGATGTGATCAAGTTCTCTGCTACACAGGTGTATGAACCCTCATCATCCTCAGTGAAGCCCTTGATCACCAGGTTATCATTGTCTTTGACTTGAATCCTCTCATTTTGAGGAACTAAGAAGCCATTTTTCAGCCAGTGGACCTGTCAAATACCAAAAGAAGACATTATATGATGTCTTGTGCACAGAGCTTATTTGTTCTAGGAAAAAAATAAAGTGCAGGTACTCACCACAAAGTGTCAGTTACAGTAGAGCTAGGAAGAACACGAGTACTGGTAATGTGTACCATTGCATGTTAACTGCAGAACCAACCCCAGCTTTTTTTTTTTTTCCTCATTTGGTGTTGTGGTTTTT